ACGACGATCAAAGGGTCCTTTGGTCGTAGAGGCCGGTCGGGCTATGCCACCTCCAGTGTCCACGAAGGGAGTCTTCATGCGGACAGCCTGCACGACCGCGACAGCGAGGAAGACTTTCGGCGGATGATGGAACAAGACTCTGATCGGCTGGAGAACGTCCGCGCTTGCTGCGATGGCAAGCACGATGTCAGTTCACTTTCAAGGACGAGTCGCTATAGCCCACGCGTCAATCGAATCCACTCGCATCACTGAGCCGGCAGCTGTGCTGTTGTTGACGTCCACGAGTCTCTTTTGTGCAAACCTCGCACTATCATCCCGTCCTCTTTGATATACTGCGAATTTGATGAGCGTGCAAACCAGCATCTGAGTCTTTTGACCAGCTTCATCTCCATTCTTTCTAGCTTTGAGTATCTGCATTCAGCCATCGCAACCTGTCGTACGCACCTACATACTCATGCCGTTCACTTTTGGAACTTAACCTTGTGAACATTCTCCCCACTCTTCGGTGCCTGTTCGTTCTCTGCCATTCTTCTGCAAACATTGCATCATGAAAATTTTGGCCTCTTTTCCTATGTTCGGTATCATCAGCCTGACATCCACCTCGGTCGATCGTTTGTTTTGGCTTGACTCTTCCCATTATACAACATTCTGTGCGAGTAATGCGCAAGTCTACCGCTTTGTGTCCTTTTAATTTCCATTTTCTTTGATCTTGGCTCATTTCTGAGACTGCAATGACGGTGAGAATGACTGGTTATAATAGGGTTGTATCACCACGTCGCTGTTGGTCGTCAGTGTTCTTGATTATTCTGATTCCTTCTCTGCTTGCCATAGACGCAAGGCGCAGGAAATGTTCTAGGTACCAACATGAATTGAACATCAAGGGTTCCAAACAGTGTCTCATCCTGTAGTACGTATATCATCCTATTTGCGAGGTGCCCCTATCGGCCATGGTTATTTTCAAACGCCGAGGTCATTTCCTGAGTGGGGTTTGCGTCGGCGAGTCGGCGAGTCGGCGACTGTCCGACACATCATTTATCTGGTGTTTCTCTCCACAATCTATCCATCATCTTCGTTTAGCTAAGACGCTCATCTTCGATCCCGAGCGACAATACCAACATAAGATCAACATGACAGCCCATGAGCCCACCACAAAAGAATGGATCCGATCGCTGATCGAGCCTGGTCAGCTGCTGGCTTGGGCCGTAACTTGTAAGTCTTCTACGCGGGCTGCGACGGTCTATACACAACTATGAAATCTCCTTGCAATGCCTGGTAGATGCGCGCAACCGTTGTCATGCTTCGAACTAGTCTTCCTATAACTTCTACCTTTATAAAACCATCACACATCCACTCAAAAGACATACTAACAACCACAGATTACCCCAAAGTCTGCTTCGACGCAGTCTTCCGTCGGGGCGAAGTACTCGCTCCTCTCCTGCAAACAAGCAAGCTCCGCGACGAAGCCTTTGGCCGCTTCTGGGTTGATTTCAGCTGTACCGTCCTCCTCTTCACCCTGTCCATTCGTATCCCATACGGCGATACCTATACGGAGTAGATACTAACATGCCCCAGCCTCCCGCCCGACGAGCACCCAACAACAACCCCAAGATCAGCACCAAGCACCACCCCCACCACCCCAAATCCAAAACTCAACCGACCTCATCCCCTCCGTCCTAGCCCGAGCCTCGGGTGTCGTGCTGGACGTCGGCCCGGGGACAGGGACGCAGATGCCCCTGCTCCGCCTGCGCGCCCCGGCCATCAAGGCGATCTACGGCGCGGAGCCGTGCCGCGGTCTGCATGCGGAGCTGCGCGCGCGCGCGGAAGAGGAGGGGTTGAGCGGGAAGTATCGTGTTCTGCCCTGTGGTGTTGCGGCGGGGGAGCTGGTGCCGGAGTTGCAGAGGGAGGGGTTGCTTCCCGCCGGGGGTGGCGATGAGGGTGTGGAGGCGGTTCTGGCGAGCGCGGGCGGGGTCTTTGATACGATTGTCTGTGTGCGGGTTTTGTGCTCGGTGCCGGAGTTGGAGAGGACGGCGGCGGAGTTGTATGCGCTGCTGCGGCCTGGTGGGAAGTTGCTTGTTGTGGAGCATGTGGTAAATCCCTGGCGGACGGCGAAGGGGTCGACTGTGGCGAGGGTGATGCAGGCCGTGTATGGGTTCTTTGGGTGGAGTTGGTTTATTGGGAATTGCTGTTTGGATCGGGATACGGAGAGGGCGTTGCGGGCGGCGGCCGAGAGGGATGGGGGGTGGGAGGTTGTGGAGTTGGAGAGGTGGTTTGGACGGTCTCCGTTGCCGTATATTTCGGGTGTGTTGGTGAAGAAGAGTACGTAGATGAGTAGATGGTTGTAAGTAAATAACGAAGATTTATTCGTCTAAGTACATGCATCTAGGGTATCATAATCATAACATCTTGAATAGACAGGCCGCAACGATGATTGAGGAGGAGGACGAGATAGGGTCAGCTGGGTTTCGGCCGTCCCGGCGGCCAGAAATCGAAGAGATCGAGAGCCTCGGACGTCCAAGGCCCCTGTTCTGGCGGATTCTCCTCGATTGGGTATGTGTCGACCGATCCCCTGGACAGCAGGGACCGTGATTGCACGCTGGTGCTCGTTGTCAACGCAGTCGGATCAGACAAGGCTTTGCGGAGTCCTTTGGATGTGGATTTTGGTGGAAGCATGTTTTGCATCCTTGCACTTTGGTTGATTAAGGATGGCCCAGACACCCTCGGTTGACCAGTTTTATTGCTCAGCGTCGATTCTAGGGTTTGCGCCTCTGCTGCAGACGTCGTAGCATCCACTGCACTTCGTGCTGTAGGGAACCCCAGCCGCTCTCTATGGAGAATTTGAGGTGGATCAGGCACTGGGTCGTCCGCCATCTCTTCAAGAACGAACATGGTGGATTCAGTTGGTATGAACTCCATATTAGTCGAGGTAGGATCCGGAGTTGAAAAAGGTTTACTCTCGCTAGACAAGTTAGCCAAGGCCCTGGCGATGTTACAGAGCACATACTAACTGCGATCTCGACTGCATTGGCAAGATTTTCCTGTCTTGAGCGGATGAGGGGACCGTACGTGCTGCTTTTTCAGGTGGCTGGTTAGGGAGCAATGCCTGATACATGAGCTTCTTCCGAGGCTGGCTTGTGGGCAAGCGGAGTGTTTTCATTGGCGCCTCCGAGCATGAGTGCGCCGAGAATGATCTTGATGCTGAAGACGGAGCATCGTTTGATGAGTTTTGATGCGTCTCAACGTCGCGTTGAACAATGTCAACAGCTGGACTCTTCATTAATGGTAAAGCAGGTCGATTTGAGATGGAGTTCTTCTTTGGTTGGCTGACGGTCTCTGAAATTTTGTTTGGCTTCTGTGGTCTTTCTGGTGCTTTCTCACTGGAAGAATCGGACAAATCGATGAGAACCGGTGGATTGGCGGCCGGGCGCCTTGGTTGTCGCTCAGTCGGTACTTCAGCCGGGGTGGTCTTTTGACGTTTTGCCGCTCTTTCAGACGCTAGCCGATTGTCTTCCTTCTGCTTCTGTTGTTGGCGTTCCTCGTAGGGTGAAACAGACAAGCCAACAGGTGTCTTCCGAATGCCTAGGACATCATTGAGAGACCGCGGCTGTTGAGAGGACATCGAGGACCGCAGGGGAGCAGAGGCACGAAACGAGGGAGTCGATGGTTCCACTGCTTGTGTCGGCGACTCCTGCGTCTTCTTCTTATTGCTGTACAGTGTCGACAGGTCGGTCTCCGTCTGCTCCACCGGCTCACAAACCTGGATCAGCACGCCTTTGTCCAGCTCCAGCTCGTCTCCGTCCTGAATCCCGTCGTCCTGTCGCCAATGCAAATCTCCGATGAAATAGCCGGTGGTGTCGTAGACCATGACCCGCTTGTTGAATGTATGATACCGGAGGAAGCCATCGTGCCAGCGCTTCGCTTTGCGTCGGACATCGTGGGTGAAAAGGCATCGGAATTTGATGACGGGCGCGGTGTTTTGCGTTGCGGGAACGTTCAGACTGGGAGTGCCACGCGGGGTTGCTGCTGATGATAAGGGGATCGACATGGCCAGAGTTTGGCGTCCCTCTGATGATGCACCATCGGATCCAGCGCTGGTGTTGATGAGTTTGGATGTTGACCAAGTAAAGGACGCGATGAAAACGCGGAACCAGGAAAAGAGAAGTAGGCGCGGGGGCCTGAGGCCGAACTGTGGGGTTGACCAGTTGACGGTCTCACCTCGTGCGTATAAAGTGCAATGTTGGATTGAATCTCGTTGTTCTCACTTGATTCTCTACAAGGAGGTCTACAAGGAGCCATCAAATCCCCTGGAACGCAGCATCTGTCATGTCACTGCTTTGGATGGTTCCGAGCCATGTGTGATCCCAGCTCTCAACCATGGCTCCAAGATGACTTGCACTCCCTGATGCGATAATAATGGTGCAGGGACTTGTTCTACTAACATAATTGAGAGCATCAAGAAGGGTCGTATGGTCATAATGGCCATCCATGAATAGTGACACAGCCGACAGACCCTTCGAGACATGCCACCCTCAAATGCCAATCATGGCTGTAGGAATAGCCTTGATCTACACATCTCCTGCCAATTTCAGGATGCCACAGATCGCAGCTACAAAAATAGTCGGATGGGGAGGGTTCTGTGGCGGGGTCTAGACATCAATATTATTTGACGACAGGCTGAAACAGAGACATATTAACTTAGTATCATTGTGATCTGATGCGGGACGCGAATTGGCTGCGTCATCTGGGCTGCTTCTTTTTCTTCTTCCCCTTCTCCCTTCATTATTGTTATGTTTGTTCTGTTGTCTATTCTGCTTCGGCTCCCTTCCCGCGACCGTTGATTCCTTTGCGACCCAAAGCTTATCCCTTTATCCATGGATTCTTTCGCAGTTGTCCATCTAATCTAACCTAGCTGTTTCTTTACCACTTGATCTTTCTTCCCCGCTGTCGCCAGTCTCCTACCCCTATCACCACGTAGCATCGAAAAAGCTCAACCAACCCACAAGATGCAGAGTGTACAGAGGCAATTTGGCAGGTTCATGAAACGATCCGCAGATGAAAGCCAGGTAGGCATTCTTCTCAAGGACTTTGATGAGACCGACAAGTTATTGGGAAGGGTAGGTCTTCCTCTCCTTTTTAGCAGACTATTCCCCACGCGCATCTCATTCACAAACTCACCATAAATAGATCATCGAGTCGACACGCGCCTGGCGCGATGCGTGGTCATCCATCCTGCTGCATCAGGAGCGAATGCTCGGCGAGTTTGACGGTATCTATGCTCCCATCATCGGGTCCTCCGATTCGACCACCGCGAAAGCCGCCCCAACGCCAGAAGCAACACTAGCCAGGACGCGCAGACTGCGAGAGGAATACGAAGAGTTGCGCAAGGAGCTGGCAGAGGAGATTAATGCTGTGGATCAGCGGATGATCAGGCCCGCCTCGCAGGCGAAAGACTACCTGACTCCATTGAAGAAGACGATCAAAAAGCGGGAAGATCGCAAGGTCGCTTGTCCCCTTTTCAGCACCCAAGGCTTTGATGTTAACGTTGCTTAGCTCGACTACGAACGCTACCAGAGTCGCGTCGACAGCTACACCAAGAAGACGAAGCGCTCAGACCGGGATAACGCCGCGCTCGCCAAAGCAGAAACCGACCTCGCAAGAGCCACGGAGGTAAGACCCTAGCCATTGCAGAGTCCATCCCCATCTAACCCCAGCAGGAATACCAAGCCGCAGACGAGCACCTCCGAAAATGCCTCCCCCCCTTAATCGCCGCCACATTCTCCCTGCTCCCCCAGCTGCTAGCAACCCAGATCGAGATCCAAAACACCATGCTGGCACACTACTACACCGTCGTGCACAACTATTGCGAGGGGGAGCACTTCCCCTCCCCTGCCCCACCCATGGAAGACATCATCGCCCAATGGGAACGAGACCTGCTCCCAATCCAGCAGGAAATCGAGACCTTGGGCTGCCTCGCCAACGGCAAAGTCGTCCGCATGTCCCAGGCCCCAGACGACCACGGCAACGTCAACGGCCTCTCCGCCCGCCTCACAAACGGCCTCAATTTCCGCCGTCGCTCAAGCGGACAGAGTGCAGGTGCAGGTGCAGGTGCATCGCATCCAGTCCCACCACTGCCGCAATCCGCACCCTCGCCATGCCGCGACCACGATCGTGAGCGTGAGCGTGAACGTGAACGTGAACGCACCAGCAACAGCAGACTCCCCCCCGCCCCAACACCAATCTACGAAAC